TGGGGACTGTGGGGAAAACAGAGCCCAACTTAATCACTGTGGCAGGATCACAACTCTGGTGAAAAGACACAATGCCTTTTGTTTTTAAGGCTGGAAGGAAGGAGAGCAAGCTGGCAGAGGGGGGACTTGGGCAAGATACAAAACATTTGTATTTTGGCTTTTTGGTACTCTCCAAAGTTTTTAAAATGAACATTACTCTGCGTCCTGGAAAAAAAACACCCTAATTTGAATGGAAGGGCCTGTGTGGGGCTGAATCAAACAGAAACCCAGGTTCATTTTACCAGTGATACAGCTAATACGAGAAGTGAACTCAGTGCTGGTAACAATTACAAAAAGAGGACTGCTTTGACTACCCACAGCACCTTTACTTCTAATCCCATCTTGAAAAATCAAAAACAACAGAACCATCCACCCTGTGCAGCAGTGAAGGCTCCTTCTCTGGGAGGCCTCAAGCTTCAATCCCAGGAGCCTAGTGGCCAGAGCTCCCTCGGGGTTCCCTGGGGGGAGGGAGCCACACGTGCTCGCACAGCTTCCACGGAGGGACATAGACATGATAATTAAAAAGTGGCCTCAGCAAGAAAATAAACAACCTACGATGAGAAGTTATTAATGTCTCAGCTCAATCTCACAACTACAAGAAGCCCTGCCAGATCCCTCACAGCTCTCACCAAACTCTGCCATGACACTGACAATTACCACAACGATATCTAAAGAGAAGCAAGTCCATTGACGTTCTCTGCTCAACCCAAAGCTGGGAATTCCGTGGAAGCCTATCCCCCTCCAGTCCCTGTCAAGTAGGTTTGGCTTATTCCCTGAGCCGTCGCGTCTGACACTCGGCCTGACACACAGTAGATGCTCCTAATGAAGGCGCAACCGAAGAAGTAGCGCGGAAAGAAACAAGGACTGCCACAAACACTAGAGGTCCGGGGAAGCGGCGGGAATGGTCCTCCCTCCCGAAGAGCTCAGACGCTAATTAGGGCAGGAGTCCTGGGCCTGCTAAACAGTGTCAGCCGCGCTCGCTGCACGAGCCCCGCGCTCGGCCTGCGTTATCTCACTCCACCCTCGCGACACCCTTAGGAGGGCATGTTCTCCGTTGTTTACATTTTACACTTCGTGAAACCGAGGCTCACAGAGGACCGCGACTTAAACCAGGCCCCAAGGTGGGTGGGTCCCGGTCCTGGCTGGGGGAACGTTGCCCGCGAGAGTGTGGGGAGGGGACTGGGCCGGGAACGGGGGCCGGAGAAGCGCCGGCGGTGGAGTCCAGGCCCGGGCCGGGAAGCCTAGCCTGCGGCAGGCGAGCAGG